GAGAATGTATGCAGCTCAGGATCAAATTGTTGGGTCCTTGGTGGTCTCTGAGCTTCTTTCTGCAGATGTTTCATTACCAACAGCATCAGTGTACTGATGTCACCTAGCCTGGTAATGAAACCTTTGCAGGAAGAGAAGCAAGCTCAAGGAATGTCAAGAACCCAACAATGCTAAAAGAGCTCAAACCAAGTATAAGACAGAGGATGTAAGACAGAAGTCATAAAATGGGAAACAGAACCGGAGACAAACAAAAGAGATAACGGAAAACCTACCCACTTTATCTGAAAGAGGCTGGAACCTCCAATCTGGGTTAACCCCTTTATTCTAACCATGTTGTTTTTGTGAGTCTGTTGTAATAAAATCCCCTGAATACAGGAAAGGTCTTTCCTCCTGTCTGAGCCTGTTACCATCCCCAAACTGAACCAACAAAGTATGGTTTGTTGAATAAGTCATGCTTGACTGAGTTCACACAATATCCTGTGTTTACAAATCACAACGGCTGGCCTCACACAACACGCCAAGGGAAAACCAACCAAAGACACTACGTTATGGCTTAGTAAGTTCTGTGAACCAGGCTACTTGGGGCAGGAGTTGCTGAGTTCTGAACTTGGGACCTGGGCCTGCAAAGCAGATGTCTGACCATCCAGCTGAGTCCCCCTTCAGATACTTCCTCTAGTAATCGGATCCAGAGAAAGCAGCTTCTGCTCAAGCTTCCAGTGCTGGTTACTGTGGAAGGAGCTGATGGGTCTTACTGGGCCTCAGCTCACCCCAGAAGAAACAGAGCAGAGCTGCTGCTGGCCCTTCCATCTTGCTCGGCTCAAAATCCCACTTGCTGACCCAGAGCTCTCAAGATGTCTTCAGAAAAAGTTCTGCCAAGTGAAGGGAGGAGAAAGGACAGTGCCAGCCTTCTGTTACTTCTAAGGAGAAGATATATGGGGAGGGTCTTTGCCAGACAGCTGTAGCTGCCCCAGTTCATTTGCCCCAGTTACCAGCGCCAGCGGTATCTGTCCAGAGGCATCCTGGGTCCATTCTTGGAACTGCAGAGCTAAGGCCTCCTTGCGCAATTGGTCCACTTGATTTTTTATGTTCTCCACATCCTCCCTTCGCTGGCGTTTTTCTTCAACCAGGTTCTTCATCTGGGCAAGTCTGGAGAGCATAAGAGTAACGTGGGTTAGATCAGGGTTCTTATAGTCAAGAGAACTCAAATGGTAGGCACGTGGTAATTCTGAAGACCCTGAACCAGATCCTGTGGACTGGGTGGCTCCTTCTTCTGACCCAGTAGGGCTTGTCTTAGGATTCCTTTTAGGAACTATCTCAGTGGACATTGAAACCCGGGCCACTGAGAAAACCCAAGGAAGCATCAGAACTGAAGAGGGCATAGAATATTTTATGGAACCTCAGCTTGTTCCAGAATGCTACTGATCAGTTTGCATGAGAGCTGATTTCATGCAGTGATGAAAATGCTGGACTAGAAACAAAGAGACCATACGTTCTAGTTCCCCCTTAGATATGAAAGCTGGCTGGGTGACTTTGAGCCATCCTTCTCCCTCAGTCCAACCCACCTCACAGGGAGGGTGTTGTGAGAAAAAAAATTATGTATGCTACCTTGGGTTGTTCACAATAAAGGCAGGATATAAATCTAAGAACAAATAAATAAAAGGCAAGGTGGGAAAGGACGGGAAGAAAACAGAGAAGCAGGTGAACAGACCTGCAGCCTGTCTGAGATCTGGCTGTTCAGGGCAACCTTCACAAGCCAGGTTCCTGAGAGATGCAGTAGACTACAACTCCCAGCATTGGCCAGGCTAGCTGAGGCTCAAAAGATACTCAGTACCAGCTGAAAGCTTCTGCCTTTGAATCAAGTTTGTTAGAAAAGATGCTACAGACACCTCCTGATTTTTCGGTAGACTAACACAGCTCTCTTCCATCTAGCTGGAGGCTGCTTTGGGCCTCCATAGTGGGCTAGAAATCTGAAGAGCAGCAGTCATGTGGGGTGGGGGCTGGGGAGTAAGGAAAGGTCACCCCTTTTTACTGCAGCTTCCCTGGGTCTGCCTGAGTCAGCACCCTGGGTATTCTGCCGCAATGAAGTTTCTGGTCAGCTAACTGGCTCTGACCTCATTCTCTTAACCTTTTGGCATAGTTCTGCAGGCCAAACTCTACTCCTGGCCCCACCACTCAGCTGGCATCCCTGATTTCAAACCCTAGGCTCCTCTCTGAACCAGCTTCCATGACCTGGACCCACTTACTTATGCATAGTTGTGTCAGGCACTTGGGTTTTCAGCTTATCCGTGATCACCTTCAACCCTCGCACATAGGGGTTCGGCTTTGCGGTCAGATCATAGGAAGGGTTATGCCTCATCAGGTATTCTCCCAGGAAATTCACAGGGTCAAAGTGGCAGGGTTCGCTCTCCTTCAAGTCTAGTACTTTCTTCCTTTCTGCTACCCGTAACAGTTTCTCCACTCCAGGGACCAAGGTAGGGAGAAGTTTATCGAGAAGATACGCCCTGGTCTCCAGGGTCATTGACTCGGTGTTGAACCAATCCTGGGACAAGCTATCAGGAGGGTCTTGCTGTTCCACCTTCTTCTGCCGTATGGTTTCCTTGTTGAGCTTTTCCATTTTTATCCCCTGCAAATCCAAAGCTCTTGGCTGTACACGCTCATGGAAAATGGCCTTCCACTGAGCATCCATTGCTGGAGTCAGTGAGTGAAGGATAACCCTAGAACTTTGCTTTTCCACTTCCATGGGTAGATCACTGGCATGGTTGCTTTCAAGATCATTTTTCTTTTCTGGCTCTGCAGCCATATTTTGCTCTCTATAAGGAAAAAAAAAGACAAGTGTAATGTGATTCTGACAGATGGGTTCCTTCTCCCCTCCAAGAGCCTTGAGAACCATCAATTTCATTTTTGCACTCTTAAGTGAGAATGTCAATTTCAGTCTCTAGAGGCAGTGTGGTGCAATTGTTAAGGCGTTCCACTACTACCAGACAGCTCAGGCTGAAGTTCACATCCACCATTGGGAATCCTTTGGGGCATTCACTCTCCTCCTCCCCAACCCATCTGTCATCCTAGGGATAAGTATTCTGCACATATTCTACACTCCAGCTTGAGCTCCTGGAGGAAAGATAGGGTGTATATCTAGCAACATATCCTAAACAAACATTTCAAGGTTTTCTGAACATACAATTGACAATGCTTCTGAGATCTAACGGTAGGGTCCTTCCTCGCAATCTGGGTTTGAGGTAGACCTGTTAAATCTCTTGATGAAGCATGAATCAAGACAATTCCTCCTACTCACTCCACTTCCTAGCAAGGAAAAGAGGAAACTGTCTTAGAACTGGTCGAATTATTTTCCCACTGGCTGAATAATACTTCTGCTTAATTAGTGACGTCCTCTAGGGTCTTCCAGGCAAAGAAGGACCTTTCCTACTTCTGCTACCAGATGCTTTTCCCAAGAGATGCTAGGATGGAACCCAGGACCTTCTGTATGGAAAGCAGATGATTCTGCCACTATGACCATTGCCTCATCTAGATATTGCTTGAACTCCAGAAGTTAATACATACAGAAGCTGAACTGTGGAGTCCTTGGGGTTCTCTGAGCTTGGTTGTTTTCTTGCAAATGTTTCCTTACCCGGCTAGGTAACATCTTCAGTGCTAGCTACAAGTATCTGCTTCTATTAGAAGCTGAATTGGACTACTCAGACCGTTGGCTTATCTTGTTCAATAGTGTCTACTACTGGTTTTCTCAACTTGACGTCCACAGAAATGTTGAATTACAACTTCCATCCTCCAACAGCAAGCAGAGTTATCCTGGCTGTGGATGGTGGGATTTAGAGTCCAGCACATCTGAAGGGCAGGAGGTTGAGGACAGCTACCATCAATAGTTGTCTAAGGTTTCAGACGGGGTGGAAGGGAGGGAGGTCCTAACTGGGGATGCTGCCTGAGATTCAACTGACCCCTCTGAGATGCAAAACTCATCAGCATCCTCAACCCCAACTTCCCTCCTTTTGCAAAATCTCCATCACCTTTTTCTTCCTCCAAAAGTTGTCTTGCCAGGACAGCATGCTGAGAAATCTCATGTATTTATGGAGGCTTACCTTTCAGGGCAGATCTGAACTGAAAACGCCTGGGAATTTAAGACGGGGTTGTCTAATTTTAGCTGCCAACCATCTTACGCGGACATCCAGTGCGCTCACTCACTTCTGCAGAATTTAACTCCTGCGTACGTGTTTGAGGTTGCCAAGCAACAGTGGGGGGGGGGCATCTGTCCTCTTGGGCAGCTGGGAAGGGTGAGTGTGCCAATGTTCTCATCCCTGTCATTTCATCACGGGAAATTCTGTGAGAATCCAAAAGGAAAGGGAGGGGTGGGTGAGAGTAAAGCCCAGCCACTAGTGGCCCTACAGTCCTGGACACAGGAAGGGTCCACCTCTTTCTCGAGGAAGGGCAACCCGTCCATTTTCCAGTCCTGCTCCAGGCCCGCAGAAAGAGCTATGGCAACCATAGCTGTGGCTGTAAGTCAAGTATGAAAACCTGCTGAGCGAAATGGTTTGCTGATCCTTTGTCTTGCGAGGGGTAGCAGAGCTTGGAGGGCACCGTCGGGGGTTGGTTTACAAGGGTTTGGAAGAAGCCATGATGATGTCATGATCATCATGGCTTCTACCAAACCCTTGTAAACCAGTGCCAGTTACGTAATGCGGGCCAGCAACTGACATCATTAGCATACCTCGCATCACTTGTGCCATGATGCCGCCTGCTCTCTGGGGGCATCTGTGGTTGGTAGTTTTCTTATCAAAGGCAGGCTTTGGACTAAGAGCCACTTTTCAGGCATACACTGTTCAATCTAGTAGCTACCCTACACACACACACGTGTGCGCACGCGCGCACACACACACACAGAAGTTTTGGAACAATACCCTTCTCCAACTGTTAGCCAGGTGGGATGAGGTGCAGGAGGGATCTCTGTTCCACAAAGAGGAGTCAACCACATGGAAGTCTATAGAACACCTTGTTTTTTAAGGACTATACCACTGAGAACCAATAAGCCAAATTGGACCAAAATCATCTCAGTCCTGCTAGCATGCCAAACCATGGGGTCCTTCCACCACTTTTAGCCATTCTGGGGACTCATGCAGGTCTCTGGGGAAGCTTGTGTTTTATTTTCCTGATACTACCAGAAGTCTGGTTGTCACAAATGCAGGAGAGAACCTTCTTTAAGTCTTTGAACACCTGACTGGGTCTGCCTGGCTCTTAAACCTCTGAATGACAACCAGATGGCAGCAAAGAGATGAAAACTCTGTCTTTGCTGCCTCTACTGGTTATTCAAATATTTGCAGCCCAGATGGGGTAGGCCCAGTGTAAAGAATATATCTTAATATGAAAGAGAATTAAAGCAGAAAAACTGTTCCAAAATTTTAAAGAAGGAAAAATCCAACTCGCTTACAGACCCCAGAACATGATACCTGTAATCAGAAAAAGACAGAGCATAAAAGCCTTGTGCAAAAAGAGAGAGAGAGAGAGATTGGATGCAGACTAACAGCAAGCAAAAAAGGACAAAGAATAATATCCCAATCAAGAATGTCAACAAGAAAAGAAGATCAGACAAATCACAAGAAGCTTTATAGCTAAGATAGGAATACACATGAGTAATCCCAAAAGAAATTTGCCAGAGGAATATGGCAAGACTATATTGTAATCCTTTACAAGCAGGATAACAGAAACATTTGTAGAGAGAGACTAAATTTAAGACGTGATTCAGCAGAAATTGAGGTATAGCTGTCAAAGAGGAAAGCACCAAACACCTTTGAAATGACTGAATTTTTTCACGCAACAGGAGACTAGGCAATTAAACTGCTAACCTTTCTATGTCAACAAATAAGGAACAAGATTAGATGATCTGCAGGCTGGAAAAGATTTGGATACACATCCAAGGAGACATAAGAAAATGTGCAAATCAGTGCATTATTGCATGAGTTCCACACTCAAGCCAAATTGTGTTTAGTCTTACAAAGAAGAACAGAGACATACAGAGAGAGAGAGAGAGAAATGCCAAATGAACAGGAAGGGTTCAAAAATTACCTTTGCTTCATTGATTCCAGCAAGGCCTTTGATCGCACGGATTACATAGATCATGCCAGAATGTGGAACGTGGCAAAGCTAAGGGTGGTGCCAAAAGATTTGATCATTCTTCCGAGGAACCTTTACAATGAACAAGAAGCTCTGTAAAATCCGAGTTTGGAAAAGCAGAGTAAACAAGCATGCATATTGTGCCCGTATAACTTATATAATGTACATATTGTAAGAACGGCAAGACTGAAAGAAATAATAGTTGGAATAAAAATTGGAGGTTGAAACACAAAGTGGGATATGCACAAGATATCACTTTGTTAGCTGAAAATAAAGAGGAAGAAAATTTATCATGAAAAGAGAAAGTCAAAATCCCGATTAATATCATCTATTAATAAAGGAAATGTCAGCCTACACACTTGGTATAAACATGCTGTGAAAGTGCAGAATAAAGATGGAAGGTGTGCTAGAGAAGTAAAGACTTTAATGCTACAGAGAAAGCGAATCACAATTTTAGATAACATCATGAAGGATAACGATACTATAATGATAGCAAAGATCAGAATAATTAAAACAATAGCCTTTCTCATCATATGTGGGCATATTTGACTGGAGAAGATGGCTGCCGAGAAAGAGACAGAGGGCTTCTATCCATTTATTTGTTTAATTGATTTATATGGCTGCCCAATTCACAAATTGCAGCTCTGGGCAGGTACCATAAGATGATGATTACGGATCTGGAAGCAGTTGCTGAGAATACTGTGGACCAGTCAAGCACTCCTAGAGCAAATATTGTAAAGGCTGCTTGCTCCGCTAAAGTGATGATCAGCAAGCAGAAACTGATATACTTCGGGCGTGTGATGCAAGTGATCGACGGACTAGAAAAATGACTCTGACCAGGCTGAGGAAAAGAGAATGGGAAGGCTGCAGACAAAGTGGATGGACCAGATTAAAGAGATTACTGGAAGATCCTCAGAAGGTCTACTGTTTATTCCTGAAGAGAGTGAACATTTGTCCATACAGAACAGACATCAGCAGTTGAACTCAGCTTGATGGCAACAACTAACTACGATATTGTCTGTCCTGGGGCAGTTTTCTTTGTACTTGTCAATACATTCTGCCTTATTATTTGGGCTCAAAGATCACCGCAGACGGAGACTGCAGCCATGAAATTAAGAGACGCTTGCTCCTTGGGAGGAAGGCCATG